CCCTCCGCCCCGCGCCGCCACGCCGGCAGGGGGCGCCGCGCCGCCCTGCCCTGCCAGCCCCTCACCCTTGACGATGCGCTCTGTGGTCGGCAGTTTGTGGTGCCCGCGGCCCGACATGACGGCGGCGCTACCGCCGGCCTCCCCCCTCCCTCGCCGCGACAGGAGGGGGCCGCGGGTGCTGCCGGCGGCGGAGCGGCCTTCGGGATCCGCTCGGTGCCTCGAGCGGCGGCTCCCCGCCCCTCCCCCCCTCTCCTCCGCCTACCGCGCAGGCGCCGCCCCGCCCCGCCGTTCCGCGCCTGCGCGCGAGGTCACGTGGCGCTGCCCCGCTCTCTTCCGGCCGCCATCTTGGACGGGCAGGGGCCGTTGCTAGGCGACGCGCGGCCCGGAGCGGAGCGCGGCCCGCTGGAGGCCCCGCACCGGAGGCGGCCCTCATCGCGTCCCGCGGCTCCTTCCCCGCTGGGGCGGGGACGGATCGAAGCGAAAAACCGCGCAGAACTTAAGAATAAAACCGCCGCCACGCCCTGCTGGCGGCACCGATGGGGAAACGGAGTGCGGGGGGGGGCGGGCAAAAAGGGGAGGGGGCGGAGAGGGGGGAGGGGCAGACCAGTGCGGACACACAGACAGACACACAGACACAGACAGACACACAGGCACACACAGACAGACAGACACACGGACACACACACAGACAGACACACACAGGCACACACAGACACGCAGACACACACGCAGACAGACACACAGACACAGACAGACACGCAGACACACACAGACACACAGGCAGACACACAGACAAGTAGACACACAGACACGCAGACAGACACACAGACACAGACACAGACACACAGACACACACACGCAGACACACAGACACGCAGACAGACACACACACACACACACACAGACACGCAGCGCTCAGGTCAGGGAGCAGAACCGCATCCTCGCTGCAGCCGTTCTTCTCCTGTTTGTTTTATTTTGTGCTGAAACGGGGCTCCTGGAAACGAGGCCCCCGCTGTGAAAGCGGCCTGAAAAGGCAAAATATGGGTGGTTCGTTTTTTCTTTTTTCCTTTCTCCTCTCCACGCAGGGGAGCTGAGGACGCGGCTGCGGTGTGAGCCTGCGGAGAGGAACGCAGCGCAGCGCCGAGCATCGCGAGGTGCCGAAGGAAACGGCAAAAGGACACAGCAAAAAAAAAAGGAGTTTGTTGGACTTTAAGGCGACCCCGGCAACGTGGGGCAGGGAGGGACGCAGCCCCGGCCTCAGCTCTGTGCCACGGGACAAATGGGAGCTGTTGGAGCTCCGCGCCGCCGTTATGGAACATCTGTTATGGATGGAGCCGCACAAAGCACTCTGCAGCTGCACACATCGAGTTACGCTTGGTTTTCAACAACACCTGAGTTACAAAATACCGAGATGGGGCTCGAGCTGCTAACTGGGAGCAGAACAGCAGGACAAATCCAAAGTCAACGCTGGTCGCCTTCCCTCCTTGTTCCGTCCCTGCCCCAAAGGCTGGAGCTCCTCCCACCGGTTTGTGGGGGGTCTCCTCCCCCCCAGAACACCCAGAAACCAGGAGAATCCCTTCCAGGACGGTGGGCTGCCCTCTGCAAGGAGCAGAGATGTGCAGACATCTCACGGTCAGCTCAATGGGCAAAACATGGGATTCAGCATGAAATGAGGACCCGGGCTCACAGTCCCCATTGAAGAGTTGGTTCTCAGCTCTGCGGGACCTCTGTGGTCCTCAGGGCACAGCCCAAAGGTTTTCCCTGCTCGCCTCCAGCACGAAGGCTTTTCCTTGGTCCTGCTCAGCCCTGGCACAGCTGGCACTGCCCTCTGCCCCACCAGCAGCAGCACAGTGCTTTCCAAACACTTCCTTGAGAGGGCAGGCAGACACCATCCCTCAGAGGAGTCAGTTTTTCCACACTGTGTTGGTGGGGCTGTGGGGAGGACAGAGCTTCCCCTCCCAGCTGCATCGTTGGAGCTTCTGACTTTCCACCCAGAACTCATCCTGCAAAGATGCCACGTGGGCCAGGGGTGCTGCCAAGGCTCCCAGCTCCTGCTCTGCTGCTGTTTAACCTTCTGGACGCAGGACAAAGCCTGCTGGCTGCCCACGGGACGAATCAGTGGCTCATCCAAAGCCACGTCACGCAGCTTTTCCCCGAAGCAACTGGGAAGCACAGCAACAGGCAGCGCTCCGGTGGGCAGCAGTGCTGGAGGAGGGTGCTGTGCCCACTGCCGAGGGCAACTGGGAGGTAAAGCAGAACTGCGGTGACCCCGTTCCTTCCAGCATGGGTGGAAGATTTTGGAGAGCCTCAGCTCCAACCCACGGTGGCTGAATGTCCATCACTCCGTCACACGGGCAGGGAGCGGTGGGAGATGCTCAGCACCCCCATGTGTGCACAAAGCACCTCTCAAAGCCACCGGCGCCGCCTTTCCCTCCCACAGGGTGAGCTGCCCCAGCGGGCTCCTGTCAGCCCCCCTGCCACGAAGCCCCGCTGCTGGGTGGGGGTGAGGTCTGGGGGAGGAAGGGGTGCGAGGAACCTCAAGCAACACAGCTGGGGTGGGCAAGGTTATCAATATGATAATAGGTCAATTCACCTAGTGAATCTGGGGAACGCCGGCGCGGAGGCAGGGCTGTGCTGTGCCTCCAACGCCATTCTGGCTCCTCCCAAAGGCTGGCAGTGCACAACCTGAAGAGGTTCACAGTCTCTTTCCTTTTTCTGTTTCTTTTTTTAGAAAAAAAAAAACAAAAAAAAACCACCAAGGCACCCCTCCCTCCCCACCTCCCCACCCAGAACCTCTGCACCTCAGCAGCAGTGTTTAAAAACAGGCGTCTGTTCCCAGGTGTCTGCGTGCTCGCAGTGAGGGCTGTGGCCGCCTGCAGCTGGGCTGGGGCTCGCTGCCCTGCCCTGCTCTCTGCCCTTCTTGCTTCCAGAGCAGAGGCTTTGTTTTGCTCACAGCAGCAGGGAGCTTGCATCCCAGCGCGGCTCGGGCTGCGCGTGCCGTGCGGTTTGGTCTCCTGTGCTCCGAGCGCTGACACCCACAGTGTGCTTAAATAAAACAACCCCTTCCTGCTCCTCCTCACCCCAGGCAGAACGGGAGCAGCTCCAGGGTTGGTTTCTGAGGACAGCAAGGAAGAGGCTCAAGTTGCAAGCCGTGCCCACGAAGCCTCCGTCAGCTCCTGCTGCTCTGCATCGCTCCCCTTGTCCTGGGGTCGCTCCGAGGATCTCTGAGAAGTCCTGAGAAGTGCCCGCTCCTCGTGCAAGCCGTTCCCCTTCTCTGAGCATCCATGTGTTACGGCTGAGCAGGAGCAGGCAGCTCGCGTCCAGCGCCAGCCCCGCACCCTGCGGTGCCCACAGAGGGTCAGGAGAGCACGGCATCCCATCACGCAGCTCCGAGAACAGCGGGGGAGCAGCGCAGCTCTGCATCCCAACTCTGTCCTTCCCCAAAGATGCGAGAAGGGACGTGATGCTGAGAGGAGATCCTGGGGTCAGTTCGGTCCTATGGCACAGGGGGCATCCCCCTCAGCCTCGCAATAACGTGGGGTCTCTGGAATAGCTTTGAAAGCAATGCCTCTTCTGTAGTGTTCCATGATGTCAGTGCCTGACGGGTACCGTCGGATGCTTGCAGCAGGAAAAGGAAAAAAAAAAAAATCCCCCACCCCCTCCCCCCAAAACTAAAGGGAAAACTGGCGCAGGGCTCCGCCACGGGCTGGGCCTACCCGATCTGGATCTGCCCCGAGTACATGGTGAGCAGCACCATGATGGTGAAGCCCGTCAGCAGCCCCGCATTCTGGATGGCGAAGGTGATGAGCGCGCTGCCGTTCTGCTCGTCCTCCCGGCTCACCTCGTTCATCTCGGGGAACTGAGGGCAGAGAGCACGGAGCAGTGAGCGTTCGGCCCGACCGCAGCGCGGCTCCCGCTCCCAGCGCTGGGTTCAGGTCGCGCACACACCATGTCAGCCAGCGCGATGTACAGGAACATCCCTCCAGCCAGAGCGAAGATCCAGTTGGCAGAGAAGTGGCTGCCGGCCACGATCCCGAAGGCCAACCCCACGTAGCAGCAGCACGCCGAGATGAAGTTGAAGAAGAGCGCCTGGCGGATGGTCATCCCGGCGTTCAGCAGGATGACAAAGTCCCCTGAGCGAGAAGAGGAGGGGAGGATGAGGAGGGGGCCGCCCAGCAGCTGCTTTGGGACAGCTTCAGCACGAGGCTGAATTGCCCTGAGCGTTCCAAGAGCCTTCCCTCAAAGCTGGCACCCCAACACGAGGTCAGGACGAGGATCGCTCGCTGCCAGCCCCGCTGCTGAGCTCTGCCCACACCACCCTGCCCGGCCCAACCCCAGCACCAAACCACCCCCCGCACCGAGCCAACGGCGTTGTTGTTTTCCTTCAGATGTCTCCATCTAAATTTAAACCTCAGACATCATATTACCTCGTTATTTTTAGTGCTGCCGTTGCTCACTGTAGTTTATGGCCCTCCCAGCCTTTCCTCCCACCAGCACTGGGTTTATTGCAGCCCACCTTCCTCCTCCTCCACCCGACAAACAACAGGAAGACCAGGGAAGTGCTGGGGAATTGTGGAGGACCGGGGGCATCCCAATGGACTGGGGAAGTGCTGGGGCATCCCAGTGGACCAAGGGCATCCTGGAGGACCAAGGGCATCGTGGAAGACCAGGGGAATTGTGGAGGACGAGGGGCATCCCAATGGACTGGGGAAGTGCTGGGGCATCCAGGAGGACCAGGGGAATCCTGGAGGACCAGGGGCATCCCAGTGGACCAAGGACATCCTGGAAGACCAGGAGAGCAGCGTGGCATCCTGCCGGCCCAGGGAAGCCTTGCGGAGGGGCAGCACTGAGGACACTTTTCCCATGCCCAACGTACCCAACTCATGCGGGAACTCCTCGCAGAGGATGGCCACGGAGGTGCTGATGCCTTGGAAGACAGACACGGTGAAGGAGGCCCCGATGGCCAGGCCATCAATGAAGTTGTGCAGCCCATCGCTCAGGGTGATCATCCACGCCAGCGTGCCGATGTCGGAGTAGCGCACCTCCTTCAGCCAGTAGCACGCGCTCTGTGAAGCCTGAAGGTCCTGAAAGCACCACAGACACGGGCTCAGCACCCCAGGGGATCTGCCCCAGCCACGGGAGCACACCCCGATGGCTGAAACCCGCAGGAACCTGGAACTGGGCGGCTTGACTTCCACCACCCCCAGGGCACTTTGTCAACGGGCATCCAAACCAGGCCCTGAGCCAGGCACGGCCACGGAGACCCCAACCCCCGTGGGACAAGGCACCAACCTGGACGCTCAGCGATCCCACCACGACCTTCTCGTCTCCAGGAGGGCTCTTGCACTCCATCTCATTGGTGACGTGTGGGATCATGTGGTCCAGGTCCCCGTTCTGCAGCTTCTCAGTGACGCCTTCCTCCCGGTCCTTCCTGGAGGGCAGCGCCTCGGTGCTGTAGTGGCTGTGCCCATGGTGGTGCTGCAGGACAGAGGCACAACGTCAGCCTCCTTGGCTCCCTCTGCCATTTCCCACCCCAATGTTTTGCTGCAAGACGAATTAGAGAGCCCCAAACAGCCAGGAAACGGAGTGCTACAACATAACACGACGCCATCAGCGTTCTCCATTTAAGCAAAGGCCTCTCCCTGTGCACCCACCGCCCCGTGGGGCAGAGAGCTGCGACCTCACCGGGTCCTTCTGCTTCAGCAGCATCTTCAGGATCTTCTCCGTGAAGAAAAACAGGTAGAAGCCCCCGAACACCACGGCGGATTTGGAAACGTAATAATCTTCTTGAGGGTTGAAGCCAAATGCCTGAGGGCAGAGAGGACAAATGAGAGCACGGAGGAGCTGCGCGTCCTCCCCCTGCCCTCTCCCTGGGGTCCTCGTGCTGCTTTCTGAGCTCTCCCTGTCTGCCCCACAACTCAGGCAGCTCTTCCCGCACCCGACCTGCCCTGGGCAGTGATGCTGTTTGCAGGGTGAGACCTGCTGCGATCACGGAGTCGTCACGGCTGGATGAGACCACCGAGAGCATCCCGTGCGCCGCCACCCGTGTGAAGGGGCCCCCAACCGCTGCCTGGAGCAGCCCCGGGGAGCAGCCCCACACCAGGAGAGCCGGCGGGCCGCAGGGCTCAGCTCCTGCCACCAACCCGCGTCCCCGCAGCCCAGGCCCTCCCCGTACCTCGGGAATGAGCTGGAAGAGGGCGTTGGAGTAGAGAGTTCCAATCGCCAGAGCTATGAAGTAGAGGAGCAGCCGCTTGTAAAAGGTCTTCTTCATGAAGGGCACCACGCTGGCTCCCACCAGCGAGCACAGGGAGATGACGGTGACGCAGAGGAACCCGTAACCCCAGACTGCAGCGTGCCAACCCCACCCCAGGAAATGGGACGGGGGAAAGGAGATCAACGTGGGGGAGGGAGGGGGCAGAAAGGAATCCACACCGAGAGGAGAGAGACAGGAGGGGGAGAGAAGAAGACATTCATTAGTGATTGCTTCAATTGGCTCAGGAGGGGCAGCCCGGGGCTGAGCGGTGCTGGAGGCGGCTCTGCGGGGAGGAACCAGAGGGGGAGCCCCGAGCGAGCAGCCAGGACAGCGAACACGATGCCGGCGCTTCGGCCCCGAGCCCTGCAGGGCCGTGGGCTGCTGCTCCACACCACTGCGCCCCGCTGCCCCGCGCAGCTCCGTCCTCAGCCCCGTGGCTCCCGGGGAGCAGAGAGCGCAGCGCTCCGTCCCACGGTCGGTTGTGGAGCTGGAAAGGAGCGCCGAAAACCATCTCCTCGTGGGGCAGTGTGTGATGTGCTGCTCCGTAACAGCAGAGCTGTGCGTCCAGCGCAGTGCTGGGGTGAGGGACATCCTGCTGACGTCCCAGCAGCGCTGCTGTAACACAGCGCAGCAGGGAGGGCTGTGCCGCAGCCTGTGCTTTTGGAGGAACCCGATCTGAGGGCGCCTGGCTGCGTCCATCCAACTCCAGAACCGAGCCGTTGCAATTACAACACAATTAACTTTGCGATGCGTCGCTCAGATCCATCCGAGCACCGGGAAACCTCAGGTCAGCAAAAAGCCATCGTAAATCAGCGGGAAAAAGGAAAGCGTTGGAGTTCTACGAGGCTCGGGGCGATGCTGCCGTCCCCGCAGGACGCTTTCGCAGCCCCAAACCTCCTGTGCACGGCACTCGGAGCATCCCCGGCGCTCGGAGGGACGGAGGAACCCGGTGGAGCCCCGCTGCGCCATCAGGTGTGCAGGGATGGCTTGGATTTTGGGGGGGGGCAGAGGAGGCACCCGGAGAGCAGAGCCGCCCTCGGACAGGAGAGAGGCGGAGACGTTCGACCGCACCTCTGGGATGAGCTGGAAGAGCGCGTTAGAGAGCAGCGTGCCGATGGACAGCGCGATGAAAAACGTGAGGACGCGGCTGAAAAAGGCCTTCTGGGTGCACGGGACGATGAGGAGGCCGAGCAGCGAGGCCACGTTTATCATCGACACACTGAGAAAACCAAAGCCCCACGCTGCGGAACGAGAAGAAACGAGGGGCAGACATTACCAGGGCTGGGCCAGGGGAGAAGGGTGAGGGCTCAGAGCGTCTCTCCCTGTACTCTGAGCGTGAGCTCCGTCCTTTTTAGGGATGAATCCACACAGCCCGGCTCTGAGCTGCCGGGGGAAGGATTTCCTGAGCCAGCAGAATGGGAACAACGAGCGCTGCTCAGCCCTGGCTCTGGGCATCATCGGGACGTGGGCACATGGGAGCCCAGGGGCAGCTGGGGATGGGGGCCGACCCCAGCAATGCCCACGTCTGACCGGAGACCCCCACATCTGATCAGAGACCCCACGTCTGACCAGAGACCCCCAGGTCTGCCCGGCCACCCGCAGGGCTCACAGCAACCCAATCCCAGCGCTGCGCTGTGGCTCAAACGAGCACCAAAAGCTGAGCGTGGAGCAGCGCCGCACCGAGGAGCACAGCGGGAGGACGCGTCCCCAGAAAGGACCCCCGGGCCCCACCTTCAGCAGAGCTGGGTCTGCTCTCCTCCGTCTGCTCGTTCTCCTCGTTCTCCAGGTTCTCAGCAGCGCACGCCGCCGACTCGAGCTGCTGCAGGACGGCGGGGCAGAACGCGCGCAGCTCCGCAGCGCCCAGCACGGAGCCCTCGCTCAGGTTGTGCGCGGCGAACAGCTCGGCCGAGCTGAAGCACTGCGGGGGGAGGAGGCGGAGGACGCGTGAAGGGCCGGCTGCGGGGCAGCGCCCGGCGCGGGGGGCGAGCTCAGCTTACCCGGGACAGGTTGGCGCGGGGCTGGGAGCCGTTGCCGCGCCCCACTCCCACATCCAGGCGGTTCAGCAGCGCCTTCAGCTGGTCCAGGCTCAGCGCTTCGCCCTCCCCGTAGCGCTGCAGGAGGTCCTGCAGGAACGACGCGGCCGACAGCGGGGGGAGCGGCGCGTCGCCGCCCGCCGGCACCCAGCGCAGGGACAGCAGCAGCAGCAGCGGCAGCACGGCGGGGTTGGCCATGGCGATGGTCTGAGCTGCGGGGAAACGCGGCTGTGAGCTGCCGCGCCGCGCCGGGGAGCTCCCGTCTGCCGTCCCGGTGCCCGAGGAGCACGGAGCGGCCGCTGTGCCCCACGGCGGCATCGGGAGGTGGCAGCAGAGCGCGGCTGAGACCCCAGCCCTGGGAACGGCAGAGGGGGCTGGGGCACTGAGCGGCCGGTCCGGAGGACGGGCAGACAGACATAGGGACGCGAGGACGGACGGACACGCGTTCCCCCCAGCAGCACCGCGGCGCGCTCACCGTGCCGAGCAGCAGGACGTGGCCGTGGTGGGGCTGCAGCTCCAGAGACCCTGAGGGAGAGAAGAGCCCTGCTGGGAGCGATGCCGGCCCCAGTGCTCTGCAGGCACTGCGTGGGGATGGGGGCGGGATGGGTGCAGGGATGGGTGCAGGGATGGGTGCAGGGATGGGTGCGGGGCCCTCAGTGCCACCCACATCCCGTCCCACACCCACACGGCCGGCACTTCCAACGGGCTTTCCTTTGACCCGGCGCTCCCCGCCCCGCCGTCACGCCGCGATCCTTTGCCCTCTCCGCTCCTTTCCCAAACGCCGCGGCTCGATCGGAGCGCAGCGCACTGGGGACGCGTTGCCGTGCGCGCACGGCCCACGGGCAGCGCTGTGGGGCTGCGATGGGTTTGGGATTCACGAGGAAAAGCGCTCTGCCCCAACGGCACCGCGCCCCGCCCGGCCGTAGCCAAACCCCTGCACTGAGGGGGTCCCAAACCACAGCGGTCCCCGGTGGGGGTCCCGCATCGTGGGACACGGAGCAGCTCCGGGGCAGCCCTACGGCTCACACGGAGCGCTATGGAGAGGTTCATCGAGGAAAAGTTACAGCACCGTCACTGCTGGGCGTCACTGGGGCGAACCCACTGCACCCACCGCCCGTGGGCATCCCATAATGACAGCATCACGCAGCTCTGCATCCATGGGGCACAGCCGTGGGCTGACCCCGGGCAGCATCCCCACGACCCCCACGTACAGCATCCCCTGTGACCCCACACACAGCACTGCCGTGACCCTACACGCAGCTTTGCCACAGCCCTATATGCAGCATTGCCACGGCCCTATATGCAGCACTGGCACGGCCCTACACGCAGCATCCCGCAGCCCTCAGCACGTCCTGCCCTGCTCCACGCACAGCTGCCAGGACCCGCCGCCCCCGAGCGGCCCCATCGGTTACGGCTGAGCGGCCAAACGATGTCCTGAGGCCGGGACGGGGCGGCCGGGAGCCCCGCAAACCCCGCAGCGCAGCCCCACATCCACATTCCCGCCGGCGTTACGGATTTTATGGGTTTTACGGGTTTTAGGGGCTTAGGGCCGCTTTGCAGAGCTTTATTCCCCTGCAGGGCGCCCGCCCGTTGCGCTCAGCCGATTCGGCCGGCCAACCCCGCGGGGCTCCGCGCTGCCGCTCCGCTTTTAACCCCACCGCTGCCAAACGGGGGACGCGGCCCCGCGGTGACCCCCGGCTGTTCCCATCGCCCCCCGCACCCCAGCCCCCCCGTCGGGCCGCCCCCGGGAGCCGCTCCTCCATCGCAGCCCCGCTCGCCCATCCCCGCCGCTCCGTGGGCTCCGGGGGTCCCAGCGCCCCTCAGCCCCGCGCTCAGCCGTGCGGGTTCTCCCGGCCTCCGCACCTCCAGGCGGGGTCCCTCCGGCGCCCCCCCGCCCCCGCTGACCTTCACGGCCGTCCCCGCACCGAGCGCTGCTCCGTGGCCGCACCGGAGCGGTTCCGCGCGGGGCCGAACGGGCAGCGCAGCGCCGGGATGGGGCGGGGAACGGATCCGCCCCGGGGGCAGCGCACCCCCCCCAGCACTGCCATGGGGCGGCAGAGCGGCGGCACGCAGCCCCCCCGCCCCGGCCCCCCCGGCACTTCCCCTAAGCTCTCCGCGGTGCTTCCCGAACGCCATCGATCCCGATTGCAAAACCCCCAAAGCGGCTCGGGAGCGCGACCCTACGGCCCGCACGGGGCGCTGCCCCGCATCCCGCTGCCGGCACCCGCACACCCGGGGGCGGCCTTGGGGGCACGGCGGGGTCCCCGTCCCCGCGGCCATCCCGCACCGCCACCCCCCCCACTCCCATCCTTATCCCCATCCCACGCTTATCCCAATTCCTCCGCCCACCCCTACCGCAATTCCCCCCCATCCCAACCCCCCGACCCCCATCCCTACCCGACCCCAATT